CCTGGTCTATCTAGTAAGAGCGAAGCCACTTTTTGTCTCGTCATAACCTTTCTCTTTCCCTCCACGAGACCTTTTACCACTTTTGCTTCTAATACCACCTATAATACTTCAAATTTATTCAGTCTTGTTCTTCTCTGTCCAAATATCTTTGTCCTGAACCATCCAAAACAACTTCTTTCATCATTCTTAACCGTGTAGACCGAAAAGCCTCATACTCCTATCGCCTGTGTAAAAGTTGTGAGCCCCCTCTTCGCATAGTATCCCCCAACAGGAGAGTTCTGCTGCCTCTTTCCAAAGCTAAACTTCTACATACATCTCAGATTCCAAATTGTCAACACTATTTCTTTATTTTTACAAAAGATCCGGAGCTTTTTGCTTTCTCCCAAACTTTTCAATGAGGGGTAGCTTTCGACCACATTTTAGCATCCTTTCAAAATATTGTGCTACTCCCGCTGTTTGTCTAATTGTACCTTCGTCCCTTTCACCCCTCTGAGCCCCTGATCAAATTTTCCTAAATCTGCACTGTCTATTCTCTGTACATCTTCAAATTTCACCATATCCCGCTGTAGCTTCTATTCCTAATAGGCCCTATTTTTCTCAACTTTCGTTAATTTTGCTCTGGAAATTTACGCAGTTTTCCAAGTTTACGTTGAAATATCTCCTCGTTGTCCTCAACATATTCTGATCACTCTGCGGTTTTTTGTAGTACTCTCAGCGTTCCGTCATTCCCAGCAAATCGCTTTGTCCTGGATTTTGTTATGAAGAGCCGCAGCATTTGGAGCCAGGATGATGAGATCATCAGCATATGCTATGTAGTGCAGAGGATGGCCATCGACGTAGATGGGGTCATGGGCTTCAAGAACATTGAGTATTTCATCCATAGTCATGATGCAGAGAAGCGGTGACAGAGGGTCACCCTGTTTGACTCCTCATGTTGGATGACAATTCACTTCGTAGAAGAGACTGCAGGAGTTGGAGTAGTAGTTTGTAAGATATTCTCTAAGCATTGGGAGCGCACCAAAACTCTCAGCCACCCTTAGAATTGTTTGATGTAAGACGCTGTCGAAAGCTTTCGAGATGTCGAGGATAGCCAATGCGCAACTTGTGTAGTTGGAGTGCGCTTCTCTCAAGATGGCGTGAAGTAGATTGGTTGCTTCGAAGCAGCCATCACGTTGCAGGAAGGCAAACTGTAGTTTTTCCATTGGGAATGATCTGGACCATCGCTTGGCGATAATCTCGTGCAGACAGCGCGTAACAGCAGAAGTGATGGAGATAGGCCGGAAGTCGGTAGGGTTATCGGGATGTGATGTCTTCGGAATGAAGGTGACCCTGGAAGCTGACAAAGGTGAAGGTAAAAAAGACGTCAGCAAAAGAGTGTTAAGATACCCAGCCAGATTAGTGGGGTTGATTTTCTGGAGGTCCCTGGCGGTTGTGCGGTCGACACCTGCGGCGGATTTGACCATTTCTTTTAGTGCCCATTTGATCTGTTCAGTTGAAACTGGGGCGATCAAGTCGTTGTTAGTTGGAAGGCATTCCTGGACCGGTCTAGTGTCTGGTAGGGCTGGGCGTGTGAAGGTGTCTATCCAAAATTCATTGAAGCCTCCTATAGTGGAAGGCTGACATGTAAACGGGTCTCTCCACCTGCCACCAAGTACCGTGTTTGCAGCGTCTTTCGGCGAACGGTGGAAGAGCGTTTGCATGTGGGCATATAGAATGCGTCGCCTCTTCTTGTCGTTTAAGTTCGGCGGGAGACCGGAGACGTATCGCTGCTTGGATGGTTTCCATTTTGTAGGGAACAGTTGGTGGGCCTGCTTATCCAAAGGTTGACGTGTCTCCTCAAGAGTAATATCATTCGCATATAGTCGCAGAATAATTTGTCGAGTGGACTCAGTGTCCAGCCGCTGAGATGAATTTTCCAGTTGTGTGCTGATGGCAGCCAGGAGGTTAGCGTGTATATTGTCCATCTGGAGGCTTCTATGAAGTGTCAGATTCACCAGGAGCGATCTCTTGAAAAAGGCGGGTCAGAAGGATATCGTAGTGCTAGTTGGTGACTTAAATGTGCAGGTTGGGCGTCTAAGCTCATAGGAGAATCGTGTGGGTGGTCAGTGCAGTTGACATGGTCGCGGGTCAGATAACGGGGACCGCCTACTATAACTTTGCGCAGATCACAACCCATTTCTAGCCAGCACCAACTTCCGGCACAGCCGTCGCCGTGGCGCTGCCGGGCGTACTTCTTCCGCGAATCAAACTTGGACTCAGATTGATCATATTGCCGTCAGTTTCCGGTGGCGAGGATGCATGCAAGACTGTCGCCCCTTCTGGAGCACATGCCTGGACTCCAATCATGCGTTAGTGTGTGCCAAGTTCGTCTTGCGATTTGGTGGGGTTCATAAAAGGCGTCGTCTAAACGTTGATGTGAGCAAACTAGTAACACCTGCTACTTGTTTGAAATATCAGAATGAGTTACAATCAATGCTTGCCAGCAACCCTCCAAGTAGTATAGATGAACATTGACTTTATCTGCAAGGTGCCATACAAATGGCGAGTGTATCCGCTTGCGGCTTGAAAGAATGCTTCGCTAAAACTCACTGGGTTTCTGTGAGTTCCTTAAAACTCCTGGGTGAACGCCGGTCCATTCCGGCTGGCAGCGAGTCCAGCAATAAGCGAAAGGTGCTTACGCGCAAGATTAGACAGAGTTTACGTAAGGACCACGAAGCCTGGTGGTCAGAACGTTCGTGTATGATGGAGTCAGTTGTTGCATCTGCAACAGTCGGAAGCTGTTCCAGCTCATCCGAGCCACCGGCAACAAGAAACAAGAGGTGTCAGCGAGGCGGTCTGAGGCACAATGGCCTTAACTGGGTTGTTCAGGGAGGTATGGGAGACAGAGAGTGTACCGTCAATGTGGAACGAAGCCATTATCGTCCCCATCTTTAAAAAGGGTTGACGTAATTCGTGTGACAATCATAGGGGTATCAGTCTGCTACTAGTCGTGTCTAAAATGTTGGCTGCTGTCTTGCTCCACAGGCTGTGCAAAACACATGAAGAATTGATTCGCGAAAAGCAGGCTGGGTTTCGTTCAGGTCATGGATGCATTGATCATGTGTTCACCCTTCGTCAGTTGTTGCAACATAGCCACACGTACTGCAGGCCAACGATCGTTGTGTTTCTTGATATTGGGGCTGCCTTCGATTCCATGGACAGAACTGTGCTCTGGAACTGTCTTGTTAGAGAGGGGTGTACCTGAGAACTTTGTTAACATCTTGAAAGCCCTATACAGAAACACCTCAAGTAGAGTTATGGCATGCAAGCAACTATCATCACTGTTCCCAACCAACAGTGGGGTTAGACAGGGTTGCCCGATCTCTCCATTTCTCTTTAACTTTGCCATCGATGACATTCTGGAGTCAGCTCTGAAGGATGTAAGTGGTGGTGGTGGTGGTGTAGATCTGCTTTCTGAAGAAAGACTTCTCCACCTCGAGTATGCAGACGATATCGTCTTTCTGTGCGATAGCACGCAGGCTACCCAATCTCACTTAAACAGTTGACGATCAGTGTCTGTAAATATGGTATGTGCTTTGCACAGTCTGAGTGCAAAGTACTGTTACAAGATTGGCAGGAGCCTGTACTTGCACTCACTCTTGCGGGTGAACCACTTGAAGTTGTTGATAAGTGAGGGGTGACGGATGAGATTTCCAACCGTATAATGAAGGCTAGCGTGGCATACATCAACTTGAGCCATCTCTGGCGCGACGTTAGGTTAGCTATCAAAGGTCGGGTATACAATGCTTCGGTGCGGGCTGTCTTGCTCTACGCCTGTGAAACCTGGCGTGTCCGAGCTGAGGATGTGCGGCGACTCTGCGTGTTCGATCATCGCTTTCTCCGCAGGATTGCTTGCGTTCGATGACATCATCGCGTGAGTAATTCTGAGGTTCGGCGGCGTGTGTTTGAACACAGTGGAGATCACCATTCATTGAGTGTCGTCATCTGGAAACACCGGCTTCGGTGGCTTGGGCATGTACTGTGAGTGTCATCCCAGAGGCTTCCGTACAGATCTCTGTTCGCTAGCCCTGGGGCGGGATGGAAAAGGCGGAGGGGTGGTCAGTCCATGACGCGGTGTCGTGGGATGAAGGATATTTGTGCTAGATTAGCATCGGTTGGTGCGTCATGACTCCCTGGTTAGGGTCCGAGAGACAGCTCGAATTGACGGCTCGAAACGTTATCGGATATGGCCAAGAATCGTAATCAATGGCGAACGTGTTGCAATTTCCTTCTTTCTTCCCTTCCTGATGATAGTTGACGAAAACTGCTTGAACTTGTTAAACATGACTGTTTTCCTTCCAGATGAGGTTCTTTATCCGTTCTTTACTTAAATTTTCACTTTTAATCTATGTTGTTTTATTACTATTGTGTGGTGCATCTTTCTTGGTGCCATATTGTACCAAGTTTTTCTGCATTCAAACAATAATAATAAGTTTGCATTTCTAAGATTTTATTACTGATTCTGCCGAAGCTTACTTATTCGTAACAGAATGAAGTCCACCGAGTTTATTGCTGATCCAACGTTTCTAGTTGTCCTTTGACAATGGACGTTCAACGGGTTTTGAAACCGCTTTCTTAGCCTACCAGGGTTATGCCACCGAAAAAGTATTACCGGTTTTGATACGGCGTGTGTGGCATAAACATGCGTGTTGAGTAAAGTAAATTGTTTTCATTATGGAATGGAAAAATATTTGTGAATTTTGACAAAGCGACACATAATGTACTTTTCTAACGTGGATGTTATTACTTTGAAAAATAAAACGTTTCCAAACCTCTGGTTCCATCACACTTCATATTTAAAACTGAGGTAGATTACACCTCATGAACGCATGCCGTTCACTAACAATTGAGTTATTTTTAATCTTACATTCTTACGTGTTTTTTTTTATCTTTGTAGTCATCCACCTCGCCTTGTATTTGATGTTCCTTCGAACGATTCGAACTGGCTGAATGACGATTTTATGTTTACTACAAAGCCATCAGTTGATTTCAGAGCAGCAAATGATTCAACTAGAATAGACTTGAACAAAGGTGATTCACGTTTAACACCAGCAACATTTGTTAGCTATGCACCGTCAGCAGGATATGGTGAACCACTACCCTGGGATATCGTTGACTGGCAATTGAATAATGATGGATTTGAAAAGTTATGGAGTAGTCAAAACTCAAATGTAATTCCAAGTATATCTGCGAGTATCAAAGCAACTATCGACCCTACAGATATACTTGTTGATGCTGTTCATAATTTCCATCCTAATTATCGTCATTATACTCAGGTAATCTTTCATCGGATTATGCTACCATCCTGTGCTTGCATATGCCGAAACAGAGAATCAATAATGAAATGTGATAAACACTCGGACTTCTAATTCCTAATGATTAGATTGTTTTAGAAACATTGTCAAAAGTTGTCTTGCCACCCAGCTACTCAGTGCAAGATTTTTAATCTTCTAAACTAAGTTGAGATGAATCACAATAATCGCTGGTTTCTTAGAGTGACTTCGAAACCACCTGTTTCGACACTGCTTACTTTTGTTTGGGTTACCGGATTGTATTTTCATGTCTTACAAAAACATTTTGTGTGCCATTTAATTATTTCTAATAATTTAGAATTGATTTAGCCAAAAAGTTAAGGAAGTACACAGTGGTGATTGTACTGTTGGACAAGCCACCATCTACTCATGTCTTCAAATTCCATTAAGAAATAAACTGGATCTCTAGGCCCAATACATTAATTGTGTTTGCAAGATATACAACGTGGATGAGTTGTCCTATGTTATTTATTAATTTTTTTCGAAGGGATTAATGTAACTGTTGATCTTGTAGCTTATTGTTGTAATAGCATGATTTTTCAACTGAAGGAAACAGTAACGTCAAGTGCGTTAATCACTGGATTAACCATAATAGATAAACTATCTCTGCTTTTACCAGGCTAGAAAGCTCACTGCGCCACTGACTAGCACAAATAAGTGGAATATGTTATTCCCTACTTATATGTAGTCGCTGAACGTTATGTTTTGCTTCTTTTTCTACAGACACAAATGGATGAAGACAGTTGAAGATGCACGATATTTCTCCAGATAAAGTACAAATCATTTGACTTCTGCAGAATACATTCTACCAAGAGGATAATTTAATATGTACATCAATTAGTCACTCAAGTATTGAATGCTTTTTTCAATGATATATTGACCATTCAAATACGCTGGAGTCTTTCTATGCCTTATTCCTAAAAGTGCTTATTTTGTTTTCCTTCTTTAAATGAGTGGAAGCATTCTCAGACATGATATTCGATTCCAATAATCAATTGCAAACTTCTCGTTCCTTGGTTTGCTTCCATTGACCTTGAAATTTTATCTTGTCTTGATTGAATATGTAAATATATTTTCAGTGGATGGAGATTAATACCTGCTGTTGTGGTTTGCTGGTGTTTCAGTTATTTAAGTGATATTTTTGGCACAATGCTATACAGCATAGTGGTGTTTTCGGTTAAGTTCTGTCTCCGACAGAATAGGACCATAATGAACAGAAATCTACGGTTTAAGCAATAATTAAGTAGAGAAACACGAGGAACTGGGACGTCATAAAAAGTGACTGCATCACCACTGTTGAGAACGGTTTTGAGCCACGTCACTGATGGTCTCCAGCTATTGATCCTTGGAGTCTCGAGAGCCCCACAAGGTAGTATGAACCTTCCCGCGTACCGCCAGCAAACAGTCAAATACTTCATGGATTGATGCCATGTTTTGATTTGACCACTTATAAATCTTTCCCAACCTAATCCCATGCCATCTTACATTGCACAAGAAGGAATGCCACCTCTAGGTAGGAAAGTACGGCAATAGTTAGACGCTAGTAAGTATCTGCATATTCCAGAGTCTGTTGGAGCGTGATGAAATGAGGAATTCCCGACCGATGCCTGCTACCTTGACATGATGGCCGAGCTTGCAGACAGAAGACATCTGCGCTGGGTTACACGAGACAGTTGTTTGAGCTCATCAAAGAAACTGGTTGTGAGAGACAAATGATGAGCGAGACTAACTGTGAGGAGAACGTCGTCTTAACTATCTCTCAAGATAGAAGACTGGCCTACCGTCAAGCTCAGTTCGATCAACATCCGAAACCTAACTGAGTGGTATTTAGACGTCGGGCCTCCAAATAAAAGTGAGCTTGGAAAAGCTGTTTCTAATCTGAAAATATGCAAGGCAGCTGAACCTGATGCGACGACTTTTCATAGATTTTTAACAATGGTGGTGACGAAACTTTATCTGGGTTAACTAAGATAATCGGTAATGTTTGGTACAGGTGAAAATCACTGATTATCCCGGTTATAAGAAGAGACAAGCCTTCCTGTGATAATCATATAAGGTTGACTTGACTACCATACAGTCTGAACCTCCAGGTTAGAAACGAACCCTGAAAAGTCAGGTGGAATTTAGTCCGGGAATAGTGTCACTCACCATATCTGACTGTCTGTCTGAATAATAACAGAGCTTTTCAGGGAAGTAAAGCGTTTCAGGTTGCAATACACAGAGGTAGACAAACGAGAGAAAAGCAGTTATTCAAAGGAATAGATAAAAAATGAATGCATCCGCGCCACTGACAACGATTACAAGCTATGTCACAAATATCCTCAAGCCATTCATTCTTAACATCTTCAGGATGCTGACCCGACAAGCAGCCTATGGCTCACTACGCGACTCTTACATCTGCCAGGGGCGAATACCATTCCAAAGACTCGAAGATTTCTGCTCAAGTTGTTGGGAGGACTGCATTTTGTCAGTGTCTTCACCTAGGAGGAAAATGTCATCCACATACTCTATGTCGATGAAACTGTTCCTTGTTACATTACTTTAATTGTTAACTAGTTAAGCTTTATGTCTGAAATATGTTAAGTGGCAAAGAGATCACTGAGATAGTAAAACGCCACGACTGATGCACTGTATTCTAAGTCGAGGCTAGTATTACATTCCCCAACTTGCGTTATCTCTGTTGTTGGTATGACATCTGACTATGCATTGAAGGAGGTCTGCTGGCTGGATGGCTGGATTCAACATGGAACTTGGCACCGAAGTGCAGCAGTTCGAGTTGCCACGTTCCAAAGAGCACACAAAAGTAGACAAGAGGATGAGTGAAGGGAATCAATAGAGTTTTGACAAGTATAAGAGTGAAACAGAATGAGTAATGGTAGAAAGGAATATGCAATATTACAGAGACTGAATACATCTGCGCCACTGACAACGATTTTGAGACATGTCACCTAGTGGCTCCAGCTACTGATTCTTAGAGTCCCGAGGGCCCCAACACGGAAGTCTGCATCTCCCTACCTGGCTCAGTTTGACTGCCAAGGATTTCATGGATTGATGCCATGTTTTTGTTTGGCCACCACTTACTCTTTTCCAACCTGCACCTATATCAGCTAGTAATGCCCGTCGGGGGAGGCGATGGGTAGGCGTGAGCAGCACGTGACCTAGCCATCTCAATCTATGTAACTTTATAGCCCCGTCGATTGATTTTCCCTCTTTGCCCAACACTACGCCTAACGTTAACATTACTTACTTTATTATGCCACCTAATGTGACAAAGAGATCGTAGACATCTATGATCGAAAACAGTCAACCTTTTCATGTCTTCAACTCGTATTGGTCATGTTTCAGAGCCATAGAGAAGGACGGAGCGAAATACTGAGCAGTATACACGTCCCTTGGTTGATAGCCGGATGTCACGCCTACGCCAGAGATGGCGTAAGTTAGCGAAAGCAACTCGAGCTTTTTGGATCCGTGCTGAGATTTCGTCGTCAATCAGTCCGTTGGTGCTGATACAACTTCCCAAATAGGTGAAGTGGTCAACATGTTCTATCACTTCATTCTCTATCACTAAGCTGGGAGTTGACGTAGTCCAGTCCTGTAGCAGCATCTTACATTTTACAGGGGCGAATCGCATGCCAAACATACGAAGATTGCTGCTCAATGTGTTCAGAAGACTCTGCATTTTGTCAGCATCCTTCCCTAACAGGACTATGTCATCTGCATATTCTAAGTCCATAAGACTATTCCCTGGTATCAAGTCGATTCCTAAGTCGTTAAGTTCAGTTAAGGATACTTCCATTAGCATATCTATGATGAAGTTAATCAGAAAAGGGGAAAGTGGACATCTTTGACTGACACCACTGGTTGTTATCAATTCAGATGACAATTCCCCACAAGCCCTTACACAGGTACGTGAGTTTGAGTAGAGTGCCTTGATTAGTGCAATGTACTTTCTTGGCACTCCCTTCACAGTCAAACATTGCCATAGTACCTTTCGATCCACGGAGTCGAAGGCCGCCTTCAAGTCAATAAATATGGCAATTGTTGGCTGCCTAAAAGTGTGTCTATGTTCTGGGATCTGTCGGAGAGTGAAGATATGATCTATGCACCCTCTACCTGGCCTAAAGCCTGCTTGATTTTCCCTCGTTTGTTCCTCCCGAGTTCGACTTAGCCTGTGCATGATTACTGAGCCTAGGATTTTAGAGACTATGTTCGTCAGGCTGATTCCTCTAAGATTATCGTATGAGGACTTGTCTCCCTTCTTGAATATTGGTATAATAAGTGACTTACCCCAATCTGATGGAACCGTCCCTGATTCCCAGACGTTACCTAGTACCTTAGTTAAACTATATACTAGTGTGTCACCCCCATATTTATACATCTCCGGAATAATTCCGTCGGGTCCTGCCGCTTTGCCTAGTTTCAGATTACAGATAGCTTTTGTGACCTCACTTACAGACGGTGCGCCAGTGTCTATATCCCATTCGGGTGTGTGCTGGATGGTGGGGAGGCTCAGTGTGGCTGCAGGCAAGTTAAATTGTTCATCAAAGTGTTCTTTCCAGCGTTCAAAGCGTCTATCCTGAGAGCTAATAAAGGAGCCATTTTTCTCAGAAATAGTCTCACATTTTCCTCTAAACGTCTCTACACCTGTGAAACATGGTTATTGAAATTCGCTAGCATAATAATTCAGTAGAAGCATTAGTTCCCGGCATATCAAGTCGTTGGTTCACTGTAACATGCAAGCCTGACCAGCACTTTAATGTCGGGAAGTGTCAGTAGCATAGATATGTATGTTATTCTGTTGGTGAACGAGACATGTATGTGTCTAGCGGCATTGCACATTTCTAATATTGAAAAATTATCGTATACTTTTCAAGTCGTGAGAAATAAGTCAGAACACGTGTGTACAGCTTTGACTTCCATTTTCGTGATGTGAGGGATGATTTGGATAAGCTGTTAGGTGTCAATCGATATCATGTTTTCGATTTTTCAGTTTGGCTCCATTATGGATAAGATTTTATTTTGATAAATCACACATTGTTACACAACAATATTAACTGATGACGTTTCCAGCACAAATTATTGCTCATAATCATATCAAGTTACTCACACAACTCTTATCCATAATGGAGTTACACTCTACCACAGTGCCCAAGTTTTATACTTCGATTCTCAGTTTGACGTCTATAAATTCCAGTAATGCGTACATTTTCTCGCTTCCTGGCTCTGTGAACTTCTTTTTGACAGTGATTTGTAATTTTCGTTTTATGTCTGACAACTGTATTTTCCAGAAAGTTCACCTCCCTGTATATTATGAGTTTATCAACCGATCTAAAAAGTGTGAAAAGCCTAGACTAGTGTGTTGAAGAGTTTATTTATGAAAAAAAACGTGAGTCTAATTAACAAAGCATAAAAAATAAGAACTGTCAGACACGATATAAAGAGCAGAATCTATCAATCGCAGCCTAATCTGTTGCTTGAAGTCGATCACAGCCATGCCATTGTGAGAGTAAACCATCTTCATTTGGCTGACGATTTCTAAAACAGAGATGGCAAGAATCGATTTCATTAACGTTCAGCATCAAACACAATTAATATCACTTTGTCAGAGATTAGAATATTAGAAATCAATGTGATGGAAAACGAATGATCGTAGATAACGAATACAAATAGCTTAATGCTCCATCCTGTATGGTGATAATTTATAAGTTTGCATCTAGCAATATGACAGGAGGTTGATCATTGTTGGA